CACATTAGCTTATGCCAACAAAGGGTCAGGATCATCACTATCACTGTTTTCTACCTCTGTGTCTTGTCCCACTATTAGGTCTTCAGGGACAATAACATGCACGGAGCTGTCATCGCCTATGATAACAATGCGTCTTCTGGAACACCTCCTGAAGGAGTACACTCTAAAGTAATAATGAAAATATAGTAAATACACGAACCAGCAACATAGCTGTTGATTATCGTTATCAATGATTATCGTTATCAAGTAGTACGTACTGTACATAATTGTATGTGCTGTACTTTTATACAACTGGCAGTGCAGTAGGTTTGTTTACACTGGCATCACCACAAACCCATGCGTACTGCATTGCACTACAATGTCACTAGGCCGTAGGAATTTTTTTAGCTCCATTGTAATCTTACCAGACCACTGGCATATGTGCAGTCTGTCATTGCCTGAAATGTCCTTACGCAGTATGTGACTGTATTAAACTTATAAATATGTAAGCTTGAAGTTTTTTTAATGTATTCTAGTATTATATATAAATTAGTCAGATTTCAACTTAAAACCAAGACCAGGATTTCCAAAATATTGAAATTATATAAACTGTCAAATATGCACAGATTCCTTAACACAAAAATATGACTGCTGTGCTTTTAATTTCCTAAATCATTACTTAATTGTATGTCTTTATGGGGTTAAAAGACAAACTGCATCTTAAGGAACATAGTGACTGTATTATGTAGGATACGGGCTTAGCTGCTATAACAGAGACCCAGAACTACAGTGGCCCAAATAAGCCAGAAATTAATTTCTATCTCAGAGAGGTGGTTCTGTCAGTAAGGCCATCCATGGAGCTTCCCCCCCTGCCCCCATCTTGTCCCTTGTTTCTGCTGTCCCTTCCACTCCACCATCGTCTGCTTCATCCACATTCCAGCCCTCAGAGTGGGGGAAGACAGAAGGTGGAAGACACCAGCTTCCTCCTTAAAATGGTGATCCGGATGTTTCACACGCCACTTCTGCTCCCATCTGATTGCCCAGAACTTAGTCACATGCTCCCCGCTGTCATTGAGCTGCCGGGGAGGCTGAGAGATCGCCCCCCAGCTGGACAGCCAGGGGTTCAGCGGAACCCCGGAGTTCTGTACTACAAGGGAGAAAGGGAGAATAGATATTGGGAGATAATTAGCATCTCTGCCACAGTTACCATTTCACTTAGTTGACTTTCTAAGGAAGATTTAACTAAGAACTCATTGAGTGTTGGTTACTTAATTCTTAATTTTCTGGGGTAGAAAGGTGCCTACCCAACAGGGAGAATTGCCACCATCTAGTTAACTCATGTTACTTGTTATCAGAGGGTTCAGTGGGTCTTGCAAGCAGGAACTAGAGACGTCTAGAGCCAGTCTTTGGACCACCTTGGTTCTTCCCCCAGCTCCATTTTATAAATTGGGCTTCAAAACTTAAAAAGGGGTTGATTTCATAGTTCATTGTTTTCTTACCAAGTCTCTAGTTCCCATTCAGGTTGATTGCTTAATAAGAGTTTGCATTTTGGGGGGCACACTTATGAATCTGTGCATGTATGTTTCACCTAACTCTAAAGTCATTTGAATTGACAGGGTCCTAATATATTAAATAGACAATAGGTTACATAAGAAAGACTTCTGATCTTGATGGGAGCTTACATTCTTCCAGAACTTTTAAGACTGTGCAACTCTTACAGATATTTAAAATGATACCTTTTTGAATTCTGGATGTCTCAAATGGCTTTGGTTTCTGGTCATTCTATAGACCCCCAACAAAAAAATAGATGAATCTTAGGAATTCAGTTTAAAAAAGATGTAGCATTCACTTACTATTCGTTCATTAACAGATAACTTATTGAACATCTACTATGTTCCAATTATTTTGCTATGTGCAATAATAAATATTAACAGGTGATGGCAGATTCAGCTCAATTTTCAATATCTTCTGTATTTATATTAGCCGTCCCATTTAGTAAGAATTAATGACCCAAAGAACTTATGCAATTCTTTTGTTACAGAAAATTTGCTTATG